TTGTACCAATTTTTCCTGACACATTCAAATTCTCCTGGCATAGATCTACTTGTTGTTAATAGATCGGTAAGAGTATTGTTACGATAGATAACTCTTCTATAGAGTTCATTAATTGAAATGCCGAAGTAGAAAAAATAGCAAAATTGGAACTTGTCTCAATAACTTTGAAGCTTGTGAAACTTGAAATTATCATGAAATAACATGAATGTTTCTGAAATCAAGAATTTTGAAAATGTAGTCAACCAATTAGGAAGGACAAAATCCATAAAAGGAATAATAGCGAAACTTTTTTCATTGTTGTTAGAGGCTGAAAGGTAGAGATATATCCACATGTGGTTATTAAATCAGAAGATCCATCACTAGAAAACTCAACTACATCAAAAGGAATAACAACCTCTTCCATAATATCTTCTACTATCTCAATTACCTCATTTATGTATGTATCTTCAGTGTCATTAGTTAATTCTTGACCATTAAGTTGCAGCATTTCTATAAGATTTTGCTCAATCATCAAATCATTCACCTTTTCATCATTTTGTTGTTCTTTATGTTTAGTTGAAGTTCTAGATATCTTAGGTTCTTGTGTAACTGAAGAGTCAAGATATTCTCTTTGTTTTGTTATCTTCAGTTCATATATATCAATCTTATGACTTCAATTCTAGATAGTTAATTTAGACCCTCTAAACTTTCATAAAAATAAGAAGTGTCATGTTACTCTTGTGACTTTTTGTCTCTTGCAGGGGGAACAATTTTAGATATCAAGAAATAATTTTGAATTTCCATTTGATAACATTTATCATATAAGTAATATTTTTGGAAAGAATATAGAGCATAAATAGCATCTTCGTAAAGTTCACAGGTAATAGAAGCTGGTAACTTTGCAGATTTTAATTTTATGTACATGTCCATATTGATAAAAGATTTCATATAAAGCATATAGAATTCATCATTTGTAATCAAACTGGCTATTTGATAGAATGTAACCAAAAGAACTCTACTCATGTTTTAAATCTATCCAATACTTCCTTAAAACTAAACACACTTTATCCAATATCAACTTATAAAAGTGAACTAAAAAATTTAAGCCAACGAACCACAAAAAGTAAAAGAACATATCTAAAAGTATTAAGAATCGTTTTGAAAAATACCAAAAACAGGTCCGAGTGGCTGAACCAGACAAGATGAACCAAATCAGGCTAAACTGGTTTGAACTGTTCAGGTGTCATAAATAATTAATCTCACGCAATCCATCCCCCTAAATTTTCAAATATTATTTGTATGCAGCTTCCAATGAAAACTTTGAAATCTAATCTAAAATTGTATCCAATGATTTCTCTACTAAATAATATAGTCATACCATTCACATTAAATAATCAATGAATCACCACATCCACATATATATATATATATATATAGATATATATATAGTGAGGGGAAGTGCAGTGTACCATGACGCTGCTTCTTCAAGGGCAAAGAGTACACCACCTACAGGAGCACGAAAAGCTGCAGCTACACCGGCAGCCGCTCCACAGGTGATCAAGTCTCGGCGATCACGGTCATTTTTGAAGAATCTGAGCCATTTCCATGTTAGATGGTACTTGCGGGATCCTCCCTGTCCAAGCAAGGAAGCAATGCAAGCACCAGTATGAACCATAGGCCCTTCTTTACCCACTACAAATCCAGCCGAGACACCCAGAATTGAACCAAATATCTGCATAGTTTTCACACTGCCAATTATATTTTTACCAAAAAATCATACCACTACATACATACTATTGGATAGTTTTACAAAGAAAACTTAAATTTTTATTAACTCAACACTTAAATAGTTTTACAAATAAATTAATTTTCTAAAAATAAATAACTACTATTTAAAAAATAAATATTAATTAAAGTTTTTTAAAAAATAAATTCTTCCTAATTAAAAAATAAGTATGAATCAAACTTAATTAAAAAATAAAAATTATTTAAATTTGAATTAATAAATAAAATAAATTATAATTTATAAATTAATTTTCAATATATATTTCTTCATACAACTCTAAAAAGCCTGTATTGTCAAAAATTCTAAACACCCAGAATCGAACCAAATATCTGCATAGTTGTTAACCCAAAATCATATCACTACCTATATATATACACAATCTTAGCATATATAGTTCTTCATACAACTCTAAAAAGCCTCTATTGTCAAAAATTCTAAGTGAAAGGAAGAATGGGTATAATGAAATTTAAGAGGACCTTGACAAACAGAGTGGATGGAGCCAGAATAGAATGAGCATCAACGCCATTGAGATAAGCTTTGACTTCAGGAATACCAGAGCCTGCAGCCGCTGGAGCCAAGAAAGCACAGAGAGCCGCAGCAGCAGCTGCTAATGCAACGTTACATCCTGCTAGTGCTACAAATGCCTTGAAATATCTGCAAATCCCTTGCTCCAATTAATTAATGAAGAAGTAATCCAACACTTGATTGATAGTACCAATTTGTAGAAATAGAAATGTTTGGAGTACTTGTGATTAGCCACGAGATTGGTGGCGAGAAGCAATTTGAAGCCGGCGATGTTCTCAACAGCGATGTTATTGAAACACCCAACTAATCCGGTGCCGATTCCGACGAGAAGCGCCAAAGCCCATTTGAGCACAACGTACTCAAAGATTTCAGTCTTCTTCCTCGACCTCCAGTCCTCCTTGAAAACTTCATTTTCTGCAACCCTGCCATCCTCCTAAACTACTCTTAATACATAATCAAATCATACATATATATACATAGAGCCTACAGATAGAGAGACGCTTACTCGTAATCTAGGCTCTGTATGGGATAAAGCTTTGAACCAACAATGGCAATCTGGGAAGTGGTGTTGGTTCGTTTCACCAAAAATGGTTGAGAACTGCATGCCGTTTCCTTCACATATTCCAAATCTCCACTGTAATCGTTCACTCCAATTTCTTCATCTTCCATATACTCCCCACGATTATTATTATTATTATTATTATTCATATGTTTATATATAACCCAGAGTACGTGCAGAGTTTAAGAAATCCGGATTTCAGTATCACACCTACTAAATCCGCCCAGAAAAAGACAATCAAAACAAGCTCTGTCTAATTTATGTAAAATACATAGAAGCCAAGTTTCCGAGAAGATCTAACACCCACCCACAAGTATTTTTTTCTCAGTAGCTACTTTGAAAACAAGAGAAAAAGAAAATATATACATATATGTATATACACACACATATATGTATTTAAAATGTTGCAGTATTTCCAGCTACCGTTCCAGAGTTACGCCAAATCAAGTATTATGGTGAGACAGAAGAGCGGTGGATTGATTGAGGGAGGTTGGAAGGAAGTATTAACGAACAGGGAAAACAGATGTCTTGGTTTGATGCGCCATACTGAAAGTGACACGTGGCGACATTTAATTGGTGGAAGTGTTGTGACGCTATTAAATAAAGTGCGAATAACACGTGGCAACATTTAATTGGTGGGAGTGTTGTGAGTCTATTAAATTAAGCTTATATAAAAAAAAAAAGAAAACAAAAAAGATGATATTAATGAGTTCCATCAACCGGGACCCACTTTATCAAATCATAAATTATTGAGGGAGTATAAAATTCTTACATTGATTTTATTTTTCATTACTAAATTAATTATAAATAATAAATGATAGTTAGAATTAATATTCTTTTTATTAATTCATATTAATTTTTTTTTTTAAAAAAAAATAAACAGTAAATAGTTGTCTCAAGTAATAAAAATATTGTAATAATTTATAAATGGGTTTGTTACGCAGGTAGTATATAGAATTTATTTAATTTTTTTTTTTTTTTTTAAAAGTCGAAAACAGTATCTCATTTTAATTTGATCTTATAATTGTTGGTGAATTGAAGAAACGAAACGCAGCGTATATGACTTTTTAAAATACTAAGCGACCGCCGCCATCGAAATAAAATTATATGTAAAATTTTATTTGTTATTTTCTTGTCTTTAAAATAAATTTAAAGAATAAAAAAGTAAAACTGTGTTTTCTCAAAAGTCAAAGTCAGCGCCAGCTTCAATTAAAGACGGAGGCCAGTTTAAGCTCTCCACGATTTAATTAAATTAATAAAAGTATTTAAAATTAATTAATCAATAACAATAACTTATTTTAAAGAGCAATTACAAATTTCTTTATCTGTTACTAAATATATGTATTTTAAGCTCTTGAAAATTTTGAGTTTTATTTTTTATCTACAAAAAAAAAAAATGTATTGGCTCAAAAATCTCCTTTAAAAAAAAAAAAACAAATAGATCTCGTAACATGGTATATATAAAAAAATATTTAAATATATTTCAAAAGAACAATTAAATTCAATTTAAAAAAGTTGTTACATATTTCTCTCCTACTATTTAAAGTAATAATTCTCAAAAGTAATTTAATCACTTAAAATTTTGATAATTTCTATCTTTTATTAACTATTTTAAATTAATTGTTACTGGCCGTTTTCAAAATAAATTGCCATTATTGTTATTAGTTATTCAACATTTAACTATAAAGAGGTCACTATCTCAAATATAATAATATATTTAGAAATCTTATAATACATATATTTTTTTATTTTAATTTTTAATATATTTTACTCTTGCTTCATGTTCTCAATTATCTAGCAGAATAATTTGTTGATTTTTTTGGTACATATCTCTCTCATTTCTTAATTCATCGTTGTTATTGAATTATTCTTAAAAATAATACTTATATGCCTCAAGTTATATTTAGGTTTCTCAATTTTGGACAACAATTTTAAAAATAACAAATTTTCTACCATTGTTGTTATTATCACCATCAATGTTAATCTTTCTGTCGTTGTTGTTGTTTCTCGTTCTCCTATTGTACAAAACCATTTCCTATCATATCCAAAATTGAGGTTTTCAATAAAAACAACTTTAAAAGATGGCAAGAATATGTTTTCTCAATTTTAGACATGCATGGTGTTGCTTCTGCTCTCACTATTTTTAAGTTTGTTGACTCATCATCTATGAAATTAGAACTTTGGATTCATGTGAACAAAGAGTATAATTACTATTATCATTTCTAATGAGGAGGAAATTAAGAAACTTTGAAACTCAATAGTCACTAAATACAATGTTGGAAGATAAAAACTTTTCATTCATAACTATTACAAATGCGATATGATTGAGGTAAGGACATCAAGGTATAAATTAATAAGTACCGCAAGCTTATTGAGGACTTAAAGTATGAAGATATCAACTAGCAAGAAGATTTTGTTGTTGGTTTTTTCCATAAAAAAAAAAAAAAAAAAAAGCAATCATCTTCATATAACGACTACAAGCAACCACTTAAACACAAACGTAAGTAGTTCTCACTCAAAGATCTAATTGCACACATCATCATTGAAAACAACAATAAAAAAGATTTTAAAATCTATCAAAAGAGATGAGATCACTTTCGAAGTTAACTTAAGCCTAAAAAACCTAACCAAAGGTATAAAAAGAAACCTAGATTACAAGACCAAAGTGAACAAACCCACGATTAAGGAGAAAAAGACAATTATTTTCGTTTATTGTTGGTTTATTATTTTAAAGCTTAGGTGTTTGAATGCAATACTATAATAGATACAAAAGTGTTAAATTTTTTTTATCATGTTTGATAATTTTTCTTATGCACATGTTTTTAAAATGATTTTAAAAGTAAGGGTTTAAGAAGTAAAAAAACCAATAAAAGAAAACTATTTAAAGCCGATTTCTATGCTTATTTTGTGGGTAATGATCCTACAACCCTTTCTTATGTTGTTTATCTCCATAGTGCACCATTTTAGAAAGATTTTTATGCCAATTTTCAAAATGATTTTTTCATGATGTACAGATTATTAGGAGTCTTATGTATTTGATGAATTTTTATATACCAAACATTACATATGTTGTTTATAAATTGAGTAGGTACACACACAAATAATAGTGTTATTGGGTTGCACTGACAAGACTAATGAAATAGTTTGAGATGTACTTATATCCTGAATTTTTTACTATATTGGGATGAAAATAATATTAATTGGATCTTATATTCAGATAATATAAAATTTATTAATAGTTGTATCTTATTTTTATGGATTGCTAGCAGAGAAGAGAAGATTTTTTGTGTTTTTAATTTTTTATTAAAAATAATTTAGTCTAATGTCATGTATTATACATGACATCTGGCGTTCATATTCAATTAAGAAAATATATATTGAGATGCCTTTGAATATTTTAAAATAATATGAAAATTAATTTAATATTTTGACCATTTTAAAAACAAAATAAATAATTACTTCTTGAGGAAAAGTTACCACAACTACATAAAGTTTAATAAGTTAAACATAAACTAAAAATATAATTGTATGTGATGGTAAATGTTAAAAATTGTCGTCCTGAAAAACTTGAACTGAACTGAACTGAACGTGGTTAGAAGACTCCGTTTGGTTGACAAACCTATTTCCAGTTTGCCTCGTATATATGAGATTATCTCATATTTGGAATGGAGTATTTATATTAGTCCAATGATACATAATTGGAATAAAATATGTATAAGAGACAAAACCCCCATAAGACTGATTCCTGCCTGTAATCAATTATTAGTACACAAGGTACTCAAATGGAAAATCTCATTCTCATATCCCATGATTTGAACTAGAGGATCAGAAATAGAATAGCGCAGAGAATTCTCAAGCATCTTCAATCATATATTCCAATAGTCTGACGAGCAAAATGTAAAACTTGTATACATGCTTTATAAATTATCTACACTGCAAAATACAACGTCAAATAACTGCTAATCAGATGATCCTTCCCTCCGTATCCTAATCGATAATCCAATACCGCTAAAGAAGAACAAAAAAAACATACTTCAATTTAATTTGATACAAAAAGATCAACCATATGTGTATGATGACCAATTTCGATTCAAAGTTAGATCAAATGCTTGGAAGTATTGGAAACCTCCAATTTTCATCTCAGAATATCAAATGCATACAAGTCCTCGTAGTTTCAACAACCTGTCAAAACTCTTACTTCACCCAGGTTTGTTGCCGACCATCAGGAATTGCAAACAAGATAACAGGCTTGGAAGGTCTTACAAAGGGAACATCACATCTGAAGTAGCCTTTCCTTTCAAGCTGCAGTATCTCACCCCGTTTCAAGTTTCGCATGTTGGAATCTCCTAGTGCTGCAGTCTCCTTTTTCGTACAAGGGTTCAGCACATCAAGAAAATCCTCCCCTTCTTCAAGCTGCATTCATAATAATCACAGGCACCAAGCAAAATCTTAGTCTACCAACCAGAACCCAATAAAATTTTAAATCACTATGAAATTCGAATATCTTAATTTTAGTATCTTTTGATTTCCTCTTTAATTAGTTTCCCAGTTTCTTTATTACTGTCACTAATGCTTATAGAAAGGCTAGTAAGCCATCAATCAGTAGATGATGATAAATAAAGAATTCTTTATTTAAAGTTTTATTCCCTGTTATTTCTCCAAGTTTGGTACTTCTATTAATGATTCTGCCAAATTCATCCCGTCCAGTTACTTTTGCCTGTATTCTTCTTCATCTTGACCTCTAACTTTTTCTGGTCTACCACTA